TCATTTAACAAATTGTTTTATAACAAAATTATCTCAGTCAGTCATATTTTTTAGGAAAAAACTTCTCATTGGGAAATATTGATAAGTTAACATTAATAAGTGTAATAAAATATCGCAAAATCGACATAATTTTTATAAAAAAGTAGGAAAGTAGGACAAATGTGTAAAAAGTAGGACTTTTCTTACTTTCCAACTAAAAAGTAGGAAAAGTAGGACGACTTGGAGGCCTGGATCTATACAAAGCCGTATCTTGTTAGGTTTCTTCACTACTACTAAACTACTGACCCAATCAGTAGGCTCTGTTACCTTGACGATGACTCCGAGCTGTTCAAGTCTATCTAATTCAGCACATATTTCTTTTTTCAACGCTAGAGGATGTCGCCTGGGTGCTGCTATTGAAGGTGGTACCGATGGGTCAGTTCTTATGCTGCAAAGACCTTCAAAACACCCTAATCCTTCAAATACAGTAGGAAATTTATCAAATATCGTATGTTGATGTGTGGCCGTTTGGTTAGATGCTGTGAGAGCCTGGAAAACCTCTTCATCTGTTGAAATCAAGCCTAGTCGAAGACAATCTGCTGCTCCTATAAGAGGATTTCTCTCAGAATTCAGAATTTCAAATTTTAAATCAAAAATATTCTTTTTGAATTTTGTTTTAAGCACAATGCTGCCTAGTGAGTTTTGGGATGACCCGCCATAGAAACACAAAGTAGTGGAGCTACTGTTAAGTTTAGGATTTTCATCGTCCAGAATAGTTTTTAGATCTCGTAGCCCCATAACGTTACAAGTTGCACCTGAGTCAAGCTGGAACTTTCTGAGCTTTTTGTTGACCATCATTTTTACAAAAATTCGTTTTTTGTACTGGATATCGTTAAGTTCCATTACTTCCTCTTCACTTTGGCTATCTTGATTAGCTTCACTGTCATTATCTTGGACCAAATTAACTTTACCGGAACTTCGGCACACGCTGCTGAAATGGTTCTTCCTTCCACAATTGCTGCAAACTTTACCAAACGCAGGGCAGTTTTTTGCTCCCTTGATATGGTTTTTACCACAAAAACGACAGGTCCATTTATTATTTAAGTGTCTACTCTTTGCTTGAAATGCCGCCTCTTCTGATTTCACTGTCATTTTTGTAACAAACCTTTCAGTTGTTTCATGATGCATACATATTTCTATAGCTTCATCAAGTTTTAGGTCTTTTCTACGCAAAAGTGTCCTTTTTAATTCAGTATTGGTTATGCCTACAACTAGTTGGTCACAAATTAGAGTATCTTCAAGGCCTATCTTGCCCAGATTTGCTAAAGAATCAATATCACACAATCGTATTTGCTCTTTTAAACGACCTATAAAGTCTTTAGTTGCTTCATCAGTCTTTTGAACGATGCCATTAAAAATGAATCTGTCATACAAAGGATTGTTTGTCCCTAAAAAATACTTATCCAAAGCTTCAATTACCTGATCCAGGGTTGATTCATTGGAGCCAAGTATTTTTTCAATCAAACATAGTCCATCGCGGCCAATTACAGTTGAAAACATGGCCATCTTCAGTTTAGGTGTACTTAACCTTGTACCACCTAATGCTCCTGCTTCAGCTAAGATCAAATAGTTCTTCCATTGTTTCTTGAACACTTCCCAGTTTTCTCTTACTCGCGTTGGGTTACTTAAGTCCAGTGGATTCGGTACTACTGACACCATGTTATTTTATCTATTAATTAAACTATTTTAATTAAATAATCATTTCTAAACAAGATAGTGTTTATTCTCCAAATTCATAACATAACATAAAAATCAACAACTAGAGATCAGCTGGTTATAGCAATACCAACAGTCACATTAAGGAACGTGGGTAAAATGTATGTTCTGCGACCCAATTTATCCCTTTTCAAAAAATATTTTTTGTACTTAGCACCAAAGTTTTATAATCTACTTCCAAACTATATTAAAGAGTGTAAAAACAAAAACCAATTCAATAAAATCAAAATGATACGTAACTACTTACTTAACCATAATGACATTAATCAATTTTTTACTACTCTAATATGAAGGGCATAGTGTTTTTCATTGCTAGTTATCTTACTAATATTATAAATGTGAAAGTTTGTGTGTTTGTTTGTTTGTTTGTTTGTTTGAAGTTCAATCACGCATAAACCACTGGACGGATTGGGCTGAAATTTGGCATGATGATAGCTTACATTCCCGATTAACATATAGGCATATTCTTATTTCAAAAATCCTTTCGGGCTCCGCCCCAGTGGCTCTGTAATTCCCCATGTTAACCTTATGAGTATTCATATTTAAAGGGAATTAAAGAATTTAGTCAGCTGTTTCAACTAAAAAAGTTGGTTCTATGATATGGAAAAGCATTAAAAAGTTATAAGATTTACCAACAGGGTGCAGCACTATATTTTTTTTTGCATTTATGAAGCAGCTAATTTGAACTAAGCAGCAACAAAAAACTGTGATTCGCAATGAGAACTGTCAAAGTAGGATTGTTTACAGTTATGTATATGTTTTTCATTTCATGAATAATTTGTGATATTTTGCGAATTGATAATTTATTTTTCTCTATTGTTTAGGTAAAATGGTAGAACATTATGGCTATGGTAGATGTGTAATACTATAGAATACTGTAAATTTAAAAAAGCAAATTTTATCAAACTGTGTCCTCCACCCATTGCAATCGCAAAGCTTGAGTATAACTGCAATAAACATTTTATACTTATATTCCAACCCCGTACGAAGGACGGGTACTCTGCTAGTAGTCTATAGTTATAGTATTTTAAACAATGCCTAATACTTTAATAAGACGTAAGAATTAAAGAAGTTAATATTGTTTCATGTGAAGAAGCCACGTTTATGTTATTTTTAAATATATGTGTAGTATAACTGTGGTACTGATTCCGGCCAGGCACTCTCTAACCTACTATACTGAGTTTGTGTAAGTTTCAAATATAGCCTAGATCCCACACAGGTTTATAACCTCAGGGCTTTATTGCTCTATGATTCCTTTTATTCTATTTTCATGTTTAGTAAGCAGTTAAGGTAAAAAAATGCTGTTTAAGTATATAATATGGGCATATTTGTATAAATACTATAACCAGAATTGTGTTCAATACTATTGTGATTGTTTACAACAACTATATATTATGTACATTGAGCAATAAAGAATTTTTAAATTCAATTCATTCACTGGTGTTGCCGTGGTCGCGGAAGACGATTACGGTTGTCGCCGCGAACGCAAGACATGCTCACGGTAGTTGCATGTCAGTAGACAATTACCGGTGTCGCAGAGAAATGAAGATATGGTCACGGGGGTTGGCATGATTGCAGGAGACGATTATTGGTGTCGCCCAGAAAGCAAGTTTGAACCTCCCGATATCCGACCTTTCGGCCGTTCAGACCATGGCTAGGTTCCGTTATGGTTGAATATGAGGGGTTCTACTGTATTAATTATCATGTAGTAGTATTATGTACGCTTCCATATGTATTCGTGCAAGTGCATGTCAAGTCAAAATATACTTTATTTTTTATATACACATGTAAATTACATTGAACAGAGTCAATAATTTCTAAACTAAAATAACAAATAATGAAATAATATACTCTTATTTATCTTGTGGAGCTTAACCTCCACAGCCTGATCTACCTAACTCAAATGTCCCGCCAAGAAGGCACTCTTGTTTTGTCATAACAATTTTTTATTTTAATGCTTATTATATTACTTTGACTAGCCTATTATATTTACTGTATAGAATAGCCAAACAAATGATTCATTAAATATAAAAGAATTAATAGGGAATTAAAAAAAAATATTCCGGCATTAGCGGGTGCCTACTTTTGATTCCTTCTCATGTTAGAGTAGGTTGGAAACTTGTACCAGACGGGACTGCACTAAAGATTTCCAAATTTTGCAAATTAGAAATAATTCAGGTAAGTCACAGTTACTTTGAGTGTCTTAACTAATTTCTAGCTTTAGGTCATTCCATAGGTTTTTGAGCTTTGACATGTGGCTGGATATGTCATCAGTGGAATCTCTTTTATAGCTAGAAAATTCCAAACAAATATTGTTAGCTTTGTCCTCTGATACACCATCGTACAGCTTTTGAAGTTCTAGCCATACTTCCCTAGCCTTTAAAAAAACACATAACTTTTTGTAAAGTTTCCTCCGTCATGTTTGTCGTCATAACTATCACTGCCATGCTGTCAGCCTTGGTAAAATTAGCTACATCCTAATGATACCTAGCCTTTTCCTCTCCTATTGCTCCTGGATTCAGCTCCTTGAGCATTTGCAGATTACCCTTAACAACGTCCAAAGCTTTTGGTATGCTTCATAGAAGTATGCATATTTTATATTTCCAAGTTGGCCAATTTTTGCCATCAAAAAGACCTACTTGCAGTTTGGTAAAATCCAAGTTTGGTAGTTTTATGTAGTTGGTAAGTTTTGATAGTTTAGCAGTTTTGGTATCATTTGTTTTTTTTAGTTTGGTAGATATAACAAAAAGTATAGTATGAAATAGTTACACATCTATCTTACATTAATTTTAGACTCAAAATTCAATTTATACAAGTTTTTTTCTTTTCAAAGTCTCTTTCTTTTAATTTAAGTAAGGGGTGAAAAATAATTCGCCTACTTAGTACAAAATATATAGATAGCTGATACACGTAGCTGATAACTAATTCATCAAGGTAATATCAAATATCAACCAACAATATAATATTTGTCACGGAAAATTTTAGTTTCAAACAGCACGTTAATCCATCCATACGGACCAGCATTAGCCAATTTTTTATTTTAAAATAAAATAACATCGTTGATTGAGCCTCTCACAGTGCCATGAGTCTATTTCCTCCCTTATTTTCTGACACCATTCAATTATAATGTCCTGTAATTTAGTAAGCCTACTGAACAAATGCAACGATAACAGTTTACACCTTTTAGTAATTCGTGTAGGTATTAAATCTAGTGGAAGAAACAAACAAAAATATCCAATATTTACTTGATCTTGTTGACATTGGCAAAGCTGACTCGTCGTTTACGAGCAGCAGTGTTATCTTCCTCAGGAGCAGCTGCCATCAAATCCTTCAATGGTATTCGAGGTTTTGGTGGCTTCAATACCTGGAACAGGTAATCATGAGCTTAAAGATTAATAATTATTTAAAATAAGAAAATCATTCAAAGGTGGCATGGGTCATATGCACTAGCGTGTCCAAAAGTACACTTTTAGCGAATTTCCCTATAGGGAAGTAGCTATTACCGTAGGTCTCATGGTAAGAACTGGACCCGGGACCGATTTACTTTTTCGGTTTGAGGTCCCCAGAGGCAAAAAACACTGTCTGTTCAAATTCATATATATATACATATATTTTATATATGTGTCCGTTAGCACGATAACTCGGCAAAAAAGATCCGATTTTGATGAAATTTGGTATAAACGTGTAAACCTACATTTATTCAAAAGAGTTCGCGAACCAGCATGGTCGGACTGGGGTTTATGGGGGGTTTTATGGGGTAAAAATGGGTTTTCCCCATTTTTCACCCTGTAAATATAAGATTTTGCAATTTCTTTCCAAACCATTTTGTAGAGCTCGAAAAAACTAATAATTTAGTATATTGAAGCATTGTTCTACGTCTAACGGTTACAGAAAAAAACCCACATAAGTCTAAATTTTTTAATACCATGTTATTCTTATGGAGAATAAATAAACTGTTGTAGCTTGCTTGTCTATGGACATATTTTTATGAAATTTTGTTTACTTCATACTAAGCTATCAATATTTCAATAAAAAATCCTATTTTTTCCCCTGTAGCAGCAAACCTAGGTGCTCATCAAAATTAATGATATTTAAATCCATATATATTTTACTTATTTAATACGCAAGCCGGTTTTTTTTTGTGACAATTACTTCTCCGAAACTACTGAACCGATTGACATGTTTTTGGTGTCATTGAAAAGAGCGTATCGTGAAGTTGTGCAGGAAACTTTATTTATAGGGAAATAATTAGAAAGTGAGGCCCTCGGGCCCTTTAAAGTTTTGTATTTCTCCATAAGATTAACATGGGAAACAAACATTGTTATGAAACTCCAGCTGTTGTCAGAAATTAAAAGTGAGAAGAATAACATATGTTAATTGTAAACAGTCAATAAGTTTGCTAATTTAACAGTTTGCTACAACTATTTACTGGCTTGGTTGAAATGAAATATTTACTATTTGAATTTGGGTTGGCGTAAATATTACAATGGAAAAAAGCGAGAGAGTCTGGATAATTTGATATACTAAAAAGAAAACTGAATTGACACTGTGCTGCATTTCTTAGTAATCATTGGAAGAGCCGCTTTGCAAACTATGGAAACACAGGAAAGTCATTGAACACCACCAAGGAGAAGAAATAGAAATAATGTTTTTATTTTTTTATAATCTTTATTATGGATAACCTAATGCGGCTATGAGTAAGGCTATTTTGCATGGGAGAAAATGTAATAATCCATGCCTGCCTTCTTTCTTATTTAATTGAACTAACATATGTTTTATTTAGTATTTTATGATTTGTAAACATTTTTCCAACTTTGTTAAATATACTTCAAGTTTATTAATTGCTTTTAAGTCATGCCAATCACACCAAACCACATTCTACGTGAAGCCTACAAAGTAAATATTGATTAAGATAAACTATGTAAGAAACAACTTAGCACTTGTAAGATCACTTTTGGATGGTTTTTGGAAATGAACCTAATAAATCCTCTCTTGTTGAATGAATTTTTAAGTAAGCTCCCTTATACTCTGAAGTACAGGTGGGCTGAACATATAAATAGCATGCATTTAGAAAAACCTACTAACCTGAAAGTATTCTGTAACTGGCTTGAAAATCAGTGTTCCATTATGAGTATTTATTTTTGTCCACTCGAGGAGACAGCGCGGAAGAGAAGTGACCCTAAACCAGTTTTTACTAATTCGCCCAATGAAAATGTTTGCATGTTTTGCTCGGAGAGTCATGAAACCGATAAATGTAAGCTTTTCAGAAAAGCAGAAGTCGCGCAGCGTTGGAAGATGATAGTTGAGAAAAAAACCGTGTTTCTTTTGCTTCCGCCGTCACCACATCAAATTTTGTAAATTAAAGAAACCTTGTGGAATCAATGGGTGATACAGTATGCAGAACCATCGCCTTCTGCATACTGATAGTGCCTCAAAAAATGCCCAAGAGATCAGCCAGGACAGAGTTCAGAAAACTTTCAGGCAGGAAGGTAAATCAAAAGAAGAAATTATAAGCAATCACTCGGTAATAAATAACCGTGTTTTACTAAGAACTTGTCCAGTAACGTTATATGGTCCAAGCTGTCAGATCGACACATACGCACTTTTAGATGACAGTTCAACCATATCTCTGCTAGATTCGACTACAGCCGATAAATTAGGTGTTAGTGGTAGCATTGAACCCCTTACCACTTGTTGGTCAAATGCAACTAAACATTTTGACGCAACGTCCAGACGAGTTGAACTTAAAATAAAAGGGCTCTACGAAGAAGTTTTTACATTAAATAATGTAAGACCTCAACCACCTCTAGATTTACCCGAACAGTCGATCGACTTAGTAAAGCTTTGTGAGAGGTGGCCTCATTTTCAGTCAATTGATCAACCTTTACCAACATCTCATGCCAAACTTACCATTTTGATAGGTCAAGATAACTGTGACAATCAAAGATCGAATATTAGTGCAAGAGATTTGGAGAACAAAAACAACATGGGATGAAGTACTAACAACAGGACTTACTAAGAAATGGCAAGAATGGTTGGAAGAAGTTAAACAACTACAATATTTTACCATTCCACGATGCTATTTCAAAACCCTTATGATAAATGAGGTTGAGCTTCATGTCTTTGTTGATGCAAGTGAAGAAGCGTACTCCGCTGTTGGATATCTAAGACATAAGAATGCTAACGAGAATACTGGATACAACACTATGTTGGTTATGTCGAGGGCAAAGGTGCCACCTCTAAAACCAACTACCATACCAAGACTGGAACTACAAGCTGCTGTCCTAGGATGTAGGCTAGTTAAAACAATTATACACGACATAGACATCAGCATCGTCCAAAAGATATTTTGGTCAGATTCTGTTACAGTGTTACATTGGATAAAATCTGATCCGAGAAGCTTTAAACAATTTGTTTCCAACCGACTTGTGGAAATCCTTGAAGTTTCACAAGCTGATGAATGGAAGTGGGTGCCATCAAAATATAACCCTGCTGATGTCGCTACGAGAAGCAACCAGAAATTCACTACAAGTACTCATGAATTTTGGACTTATGGCCCCGAGTTTCTAAAATACGACTCAAGTCATTGGCCACAGCAACCGACAACCATGCAAACAAAAAAAGTGAAGAGGTAAAACAAAAGTTTGTTGGGTTACACAACGAAGACAAAGAAGATGTTATCAATATTGAGCGGTTTTCTTCCTGGAATAAGGTAACGCGAGTAACTGCATCGCATGTGTTCTGAGATACATTGGTTCTCAATCCAGGATCAAAAGAAATGACAAAGACAGACTGAAGAAGAACTATAACCCCAGATCGATACTGCAACTTCAACCAGATAAAATTCTTAAGGCTGAACACATCTTAATGTTGAATTCCCAAGACTTAAGTTTTAAAGAAGAAAAGACCTTATTAAGAAATAACAAGTCACTACCGAAGTCAAGTAAAATTTTCACATTCGATCCTTTCGTTGACGAGAAAGACCTCATCAGGATGTCTACAAGAATACAAAATTCTCCTGATATCAGCACTGACCCAATTATTTTAGATGGAAAATGTCATGTAGCAAGACTTATTGTGAAGAACTTCCATGAAAAATGCTTCCATCAAGGAATAGAAACCGTAATGAACATGACAAGAAAACGATTTTGGATACTTAATCTTCGCACAACAGTGAAGAAAGTGCAAAGAAGCTGTATGCGTTGTAGGATTGACAACGCCAAACCAAGTCCACCTCAAATGGCACCCCTGCCAATGTCACGAGTAGTCAAGGCACAGTATCCTTTCTTTTACACTGGTGTTGACTATTTTGGCCCAATTTAAGCGACTGTTGGCCCAATTGAAGCGACTGTTGGCCCAATTGAAGCGACTGTTGGCCGAAGACATGAAAAGCGATACGGTGTAATATTTACATACCTTTCTACCCGTACAACTCATCTCGAAGTGGCTCATTCGTTAAGTACGGAGAGTTGCGTTATGGCAATTCAAAGGTTTATAAGCCGGAAACCTTGCCCTTCCGAGATGTTTTCTGACAATGGTACAAATTTTGTAGGAACAGACAATGAACTTCAAAATGCTGTTAAGTCTTTAAATAACGCCCAGATTCAACGGACAGTCGTCAAGAGTGGGAATAAATGGAATTTCATTACTCCCCGTGCGCCACACATGGGGGGATGTTGGGAGAGACTGATAAGGTCAGTAAAAAAAGCATTGAAAAGTTTCATGCGATCCAAGTACCCAAAAGATGAATAACTGCAGAAGTTTTTGACTCGTGTGGAGTTTATTATTAATTCACGTCCACTCACACACGTATCAATTGACCCGTTGGACCCTGAGCCGATCACACCAAAAACCACTTTCTACACGAAGCCTACAAAGTAAATATTGATGAAGATATACTATGTAAGATACAACTAGCCCGTGTAAGATCACTTTTGGATAGTTTTGGAAGCGTTGGATCCACGAATACCTGTCCTGTTTATCAAGACGTCGCAAGTGGCACAAAAGAATAGAACCACCTCAAGTAGGGGACTTGGCTATATTAGTTGAAAAAGATAATCAAAGAAATTCATGGCCTCTTGGACAAATATCAGCAAGGTCGCAGTTCTTGGGGGGGGGGGGGAGAAAATGTAATGGGAGAAAATGTAATAATCCATGCTTACCTTCTTTCTTATTTAATTGAGCCAACATATGTTTTATTTATTATTTTATGATTTGTAAACATTTTGTCCAACTTTGTTAAATATACTTCAAGTTCATTAATTGTCTTTTAGTCTTGTCTTTGAAATTTTAACATTATAATTTGTAAAAAACACTAAATACCCCCGCCGCAGCAAACCTGCCGACTAAGCGAATTTCCATTTG